ATTATAGGGTGCTATTTTCATAATAGTAATAAACCTCTTATATATAAGTTTCAGTCACATAGACAGTCCTTTGTTAATTGATGAAATTTTGTTCACGTTTTTAATGCATCCCTTACATTTGAAAATTATGTTGTTAATATAATTTCACCATCATTAGTACTCATGATAATAATATTAGATTGTTCTTAATTATGATTGGATTAAGCGTATTTTTTCTCCCAATGACAACGGTCCGTCGTGGCTGGGCCACCAGCAAGAAACAAGATAATGAAGACACAACAATACCCAAGATAATCTACCCGGTAATGGCCACCAACTTATTCCGGAGAAGTAGAAATCCACCTCTCCATAAGCCTTGACAATATACAAAATACCGCCAACTCCAAAACTATGGAAATCCATACGGCAATGTCTTTCGTGGTTTAGTACTGAATAATCAAGGACGCCACAAATCTCCGTAGCCACCAAAAACGTGAGGCCGTACCAGTAGTTGTGATCGAGCACAAAGCCAATGAATGGGTCGGTGTAGTCATTGATAAACTGCTGGGCATTGGCACCGGGCACAGGCAAGAAAGTGACCATTTCAGCCAAAATATTCATGACAATCCACACCACCGAGGATAAAACGATATACGATAAGAAAAGAGCGGCAGGCCACGCAAGTATAAAGAAGCACCAGGCCCCACAAAGTGACCCGTGCCAATGGCACCACCCAAGGCAATCGTTTGGACATGTTTTTGAGCCTTCCTTCAAGTCCTCCTTTGGGTGGACACAATGGAGTTGTTTTCGAGAAGCACATGACCTTTTTCATCGACATTGACACACACTCTCTATTACTCCATGAGACTCTAATACTACGCCATTCTTAATTATGACATCGGAATATGATATTACACCATTCTCTGTAACTCCAACAAACTCTGATATTACGCCATTCTTTATTATGACATGGGAATATGATACACCATTCTATATTATTACTTCGGACCATAATATTCACCATTCTAGATTATGAAATCGGAATAAGATACTACATTATCTAGATTATTTCATCAGCATTAATACACCTTTTTCTATGACCACACCCTTCTCTATCACCACACCCTTCTCTATCACCACACCCTTCTATTTTACCATACCATTCTCTGCTGCAGCTAGGAGGATGATTTTAGACGATCAATTATATCATCGTTAGTCTTTTTATACCAACTTTTATATATTTCTATATAGTTTGGACTATGTCTTAGTTGTCTCTACCTACATATAGTGTTTTTTATATATTTTTTATTATCTTATTTACTTACATCTTACATCTTACATCTTAAATTATTGAGCTTTACGTTATCATATGACTCATAGTTATATATCTTTTATTGCTTGCGATTTTAAGTCCTTATTTCTCTATTACTACATCAGACTCTAATACTAAAGTAAACTCTAATGTACGTCGGACCTTAATACTTTATTCTACTACGACATCGGAAAACAATGCTACACCATCCTATATTCCTACATCCCATAATAATACACCCTACTACATCAGACTACCTTTTCTATACCACATCACGTTCCAGCTCCATATCACACCCTGCAATACTTTCTCATACTTTCTCATACTTTCTCATACTTTAGTATACTTTCTCATACTCTAGTGCTTTTCTCTCTGGACTCTCTCGCGTCTAGCCCTGCAGCGGCTTAGACGTCACAAACAACAGTACCGAGGCACGTTTCGTAGTACGTCAATTCACGTAAAAAACAAGTGCTTGCCGGGGGCGTCTAGGCCGTGCTCAACGGAGTGGATGGGCGTTTCGACACTTGTACATATTTGAGCATATTCGAGGTTTATATATAAATATATATACTCGGATCAGAAGATGCTATCAAAAACTTGGATAAAAAGCCCAGGGTCTCTTTAATCTCCAGAGCTCTTCTGCTTCTGAATCTCTCTTGGCTCTGGTACCCTTTTTTTCCAGCCCTCTCTAGACCTTCTTTTCCCACTCTCTAGACCTTGTCCACTCTCTCAACCCCAGCTCATCGCATCTCCAGCCATGCAAGTCTGTCGATTCCCACAAGCACAGAACTGAACGATGGCACGTCTAAAGGCAGGCACTCTACATTTTCCCATTTAGCATGTTTCTCGAAAGCGGCTCGCTTCCAACAATGCACGAGCCTTCCAATGACATTGGCGTGATCCACGACTCTTTGGGACAAGTGCCGTGTTCTGGTTAAATTACTCGTGCTCTCTCCTTTGCTGTGGAAAAGCAAGTTGCGGCCGTATGGAGGGGCATGGGACCAAGCAATTGGCAAATGCCCATTCAATGGAGCCATCAGACGTCAGCCCCATCTTGCGCCGCATTCTCGTAGAAACTTTCCCCGGTGTCTTTGGAGCCGTGTTAATACCATCTGAAGCCTAGGACGTAGTATTCTTTGGAGTGCTCTGGCCATCGACCCTGTCGTTCTATTTCCTGGACTCAGAGCCTCCCCCAGCCTACTTCCACTCCATTTGTTCACCATTTGTTCACCATTTGTTCCACCCCATTTCCACCCATCTCCATCCCAAAACCTCCACCCCAAACCTCACCCATTTCCACCCCATTTCCACCCCATTTGTTTTACAATGATATTGAAAAAATGAATATTCAGATTTTGTATCTGATAAAGGTGAAACTATAGCATATGAATCTTATATTATTCCTGATGATATGGTAGAAGAAGGTCAGTTAACTATGATACTAAATAGTTTATTATATAAGAGCGGTTTAAATAGATTAAGATATAGTCCGAACAATATAGTAATATATTGAGTATAGTAAAATTTATAATACAAGGTAGTTAAGTAACCCTATATATAATAATATGTATAGATATATATAATATTACATGTTCGTACAGTCCTTCTATATATAATCTATCGTCATAAGTTATAAAATTTATAATTCTAATTTTATATCATATATATACTTATTTTATATTGCATGAGCTCTTATATCATTCTAATAATACACCCGGCTGCTTAATACTCATTTAAATTTATTATATCGAAATAACCTAACCTTTGAAAAGGAAGCGGGGTGATACATCGCCCTTTGGGGAATGTATTAGTATTATTAAAGAAACATTTATCTAATAAATAACTACCAAATAGTAATTATAATATATATCTACAACTATATTTTTAGGACATACGGCTCTTTAGAAATAAGAAAAGAACTATGATCAATGAATAATTAAAAGAATAGAATAGAATGGGATAGAATATATATATTCTATATTTATTAAATATGTTTTATATCATTTTATAATTTAGTCTCCCGAAACTATAACTTATTTTTACCTTTTTTTAAGTAAAATCTAGATGATTTATTTATATATCTTTTTATCATAAATTTAAATGACCCTATATGTAATTATATTAACATTATTATTATATGTAATGCTCTATATTAGTTAAATTTTGTATATATTAGTCATACCATATATAATAGTACTTTATAAAAGTTATAAGTTGTTTTATGATCATTAACATATTCAATTATTTTAAAAATCAAATCATGCTATATTTAATTAATGGTGATAGAATTATGTTTAATACAAAGTAAATAATACTTGCTTGGCATATCATAATAACTTTCTTTATTTATATATAACTATCATTATATTTTACATATTTTATTTTTATAATCAGATTAAAATTAAGATCCAAATATAATGTTATAATGTTATAATGTTATGATGTTATTTTTATATTTTAAAAACATCTATATTTGTATAAATATATAATACATATCTAATAAATTTTATAGTTAAGTTAAGTAATATATACTTTATGACATTCCTCGATGATATTTCACCCTTCGGGATAAAATACTATATTAATATAAGTTCTCAACCTCAACCTTCTCTATTTATCCCTCGTAAGTCTTCCTTTTCCACTTTTAATCTACTTTTTCTCAATCTAGATCTTTTTCTATCTTCTTTGAATCTTCATACTAATTATTTACACAGGTTTAATTTTAACTTTAGCTATAAGTAGTGAAGGTGTTTTTGGTACTTTATTACCGGGATGATCAGCGAATAGTAAATATTCTTTATTAGGTTCTATACGTTCAACAGCTCAATTAATAAGTCATGACTTAGTTTTTACTACTATTATGTATTTCATTTGCTGGGATTTAATGAATTCTATCAAATTATTTTAATTTCGGAATCAGTTAAAAAAACAAAAATAAGGAGTCAGACTTATTGCGATAAGGTAGTAAGTCGAAAGGGAAACAACCCAGATTGTTAAGTGAAAGTCCCAAATACCAAAACTTCCCTCACCCATTTCCACCCCATTTCTTCACCATTTGTTCCACCCCATTTCTTCACCATTCAAATTAATAGTCATTTGATTCATCGGTATTATTATTTACAAGATATGAAAGCTTATAAAGTTGAAACCAATCCTTTACTTTATCGGTCTTGAAATAATTTTTTAAGTCATTCAAATATGATGAAGATGTTTGAAGATATAGTCCATTTTACTCATACGCATTAAGGCTTACATTGCAAGAATACCGGGTTATGGAATATATCACATATAGTACCAACATGTAGTAAAACACCGATCTTCGGTGAGATGGGAATGTTGTACGCTATGGATCCATCGGACTATTAGCAATTTAGTATTAAGCCATCGTATGTTTGTTCTAGGTTCAGATATAGATTCTAGAGCTTATTTCACATCTGCTGCAATGGTTATAGCCGTACCAACAGGAATAAAATATGGGCGACCGTTCGAGTGCACACGGAATAATTTCCACCCCATTCCACCCATCTCCATCCAAAGCCTCCACCCATCTCCATCCAAAACCTTCATCCAAAACCTTCATCCAAAACCTTCATCCAAAACCTTCATCCAAACCTTCATCCAAAACCCCTCAGGCCCCAGGGCGTCCTGCACACACCGCCCGGCGCCTTCGTCGCACACTCAACTCCCCAGAACCAGCCCGTCCCATCACATGTGGTCGTCGCCACCACTCAAAACCACGCTTTTTGCAGCGCCGCGGGCCGCCAGGCCCCTCCTCGGGCCGCCGGCCCGCCAATGGCAAACACGGCCGCCGCGCCCCGCCGCACCGGGCGCCGCCCGCCCGCTCTCGACATTTCGCCGGCTTTTCCAGGACGAGAATGGCGCCAAACACAAACATCCCCCCCAGAAGCACACGGACCATCCACCCAGGCAGGCGCCGGCGGCCGTCACCAAAGAGCAGCTTTTGGCACGTGCCACAAGCGTCGCCTCGCGCGCCGGCGTGCGTTTCAAGTGGCTCATGAAGCGGCTGAACCGGCCGCTCAACACGGACGACTACTCCGCGCTCTTCTCGTGGCTCGTGGTGGGCAACGCGTTCCTCCTTGTGGCGGGCACCACCACGTTCGTGCTGTTGGTGATCTTCACCGTCAACCCCCTCTTTTCGCAGGAGTTCGTGGCGCGCAAGGTGGGCGAGCTCATGACGCAGAACCTGCGGCTCCAGGTCACGTTCGAGCACGCCATCGTGCCCGGGTGGCGCGACGGCAAGATCTCGTTCAAAAAGTGCTTTGTCAGCCGGCGGCCCGAGGCCACGCGCACGTTTGCCAAGGGCTTGCAGGCGGACGCGTACGCCCGCCGCCAGGCCGCAGCCGGCGCGGCGGAGCAGCCCGAGGACGACGGCAACTACACGCAGTTCGACGTGACCATCGAGGAAATCAACGTGACGTTGTCGTTCCGCAAGTGGATGAACGGCACGGGGCTCGTGGACACCATGGAGATCGCGGGGCTCCGCGGCGTGGTGGACCGCACGCACGTGCACTGGGACCCGGCGGACGACGCCACCAACTACAAGAACCGGTACCAGTTCGGCGACTTCGAGCTCAACCGCTTCGTGATGCGGGACGTGCTCTTCACGTTGCGCCAGCCCGCGGGCTTCCGCGCGTTCGACGTGGCCATCTACAACTGCGAGTTGGACCGGCTCCGCAAGCACTGGTTGTTGTACGACCTCCTCAACGCGGCCAGCGTCAGCGGCTCGTACGACGACTCGCTCTTCACCATCCACAAGCGCCAGCGGCTCCACGACTTCGACGACGCCCGCGCGGACGCGCATGGCCTGCTGCCCTGGAAACGCGTCACGCGCTTGCGCGTGGACTCGCTCGGCGTGGACCACCTCAACACGGGGCTCGAGGGGCCGTTTGGCTGGATCTCCTCGGGCAAGGTGGACATGGTGGGCGACGTCATGGTGCCAGAGGACGCGCGCGACTACAACGTGTCGGAGATCGTGGCCATCGTGGCCGAGTCCATCCACAAGGAGGCCACGCGCTACCGCAACCCGGCCGTGTGCGCGTCCAAGCCGAGCCACGGCTCGCGCCTCCGCGCCGACGACATGGGCGACGTGTCGCGCTTCTTTGTGCTCGACTTGACGCTCCGCCTCAACAACGTGCGTGCCCTGGTGCCGTTCCCGGCCCCGGAGCTCAGCTACGTCAACTACGCGTTGGTGCGCCCGATCGTGGCCTACATCAATCTGCGCAACGCGTTCGTCGAGATCCACAGCCGCGTGGTCAAGAGCATCGACGACTTCAGCGGCTCGTGGACCGTGTACGACTCGCTCTTGATGGACGACATCTCCGAGCTGGTGTACGACTCGTTTGTCAACTACGTGGCCGACGACGAGGCCCGCTTGGTCCGCATGCGCAAGATGGCCTTCTGGTCCGTGCAGGTGCTCGTGCAGTTGATTGTGTTTGGCCTTGGCGCCTTGACCTAGTGCCGCGGCCACGCATCGGGCTCGGTGCGGCGTCTGGCCATGCGCCGCCGCCCTGTTGTAGCGGCCCTCGCGGCTCTTTTGCCACATCCTCGCTCTGTCCAAGACACGTTTCGTGCCGGGGAATCCCTGACGGGTCGCCGGTGACTGGCGCGCTCGTCTCCTCCGCCGAGGACCGGAAGCAAGGCGTGCCAGACGGGCGTTTTGTGGAGAACACTCCTGGGAGAACGTTCTTGCAAAGGAGCCCCATACCGTCGGCTCTGGAGAAATAAGAAGCCCCATGCCGTCAGCTCGGAAGGGGAGGAAAACAGCACAAGTGCCATACCACAATGTTGATCGAAGGGCCTGCTGACTCTCGGAAAATCTCTTACACGGCAGCATCGCGCACAGGTCAATGAGACCCATCCAGAACCGCTCTACAGATTTCCTCTTGCAAAAAAACTCGCATACATGGCATACGCCAAAGCTCGCGATTTCTACAGGGGTCTGCCATCGAGACTTAGAGCCGAAAGTGTATTGGCCGTACAGGGTGCGCCTTGTCTATGGGTCTCGTCTATGCGATGTTCACGAAAGATCCATCCACATATGCATAAACATCGCACGTACGGCCATTGTCTAGCTCCTCAAAGCCGTAGGACAAGCACAAACAATGCCACATATGTCGCCAAACTCACCAACGTGAGCAACAACACGGAATCCCCCGCAGTGGTGAACCTTTCTTGATCTTCGTGCCCATCGTAATACGTCCAGACGTTCCTCGCCTTGGCCACTCCGACGAAGTAGAGCACAAACCCATACGCCGTGTATACGGTCCCAATGGGGAGAAACTCCGCAGAAAAGAACTTGATAATCATGACGGAAAACGAAAGACATTGGATCGCCGTCCGCGTGTACGCTCCCTTGTAGGTGCGCTGATGGGCGCGGACGTCTTGTCGTACACTCGAGGCAAGATGGTCGAGTCTTGAAGTGCGTCGTTGGATTGACATACTGGTGTGCTATGAAGAGGTGATGCACTAGCCGCGTGACTCGCACAATTTCCAAAGCTTTCGACGCTAGCGGGTATCCTGGACCAAGGCGCCCCGTCTACCCGGTGACCACTTTAGCTGAGACCCGTGGGTTTAGAAATCTCCACACTGTCGTGTCTTTGAAGACCTGCTGGAATAGCTTTCTGCCGGCGCCTTTGGGAACGAAGCGGGGTCTCTGAGTCGTGTTTTGACACTCCCACTCCCCTTTTTAAGCCTCCAGCTCCAGAAATCAATTGATAGTATACTCACAGAATTTCATGTGGCTGCTGCGAGCAAGCTAGGCGCAAAGTGGTCTGCCGTCAAGTGTATATATTTTTCGATGGCAGGTAAGAAGCGACGAGAGCCTGTCTATGTGTTGCTCTGATTTTGTCAGTCCCCGGTCCACTTCTGTGTTTTCTTGCTACAGTAATCAAAGCGCCCCTCCACAACACTGGTTTTTGAACAGTCTTTCCGACAGCACTGGCGTACTAATCATGGGGCTCAAAACAGGCGAAGCGCGAACCAGCAAAACCGTCAAGATTCGCATAATGCACGTCCTTCGGTTCTGAATCTTGGCCACCAAACAAGTTTTTGAGCACGCTTCTGGTATTCCACGAGGATCTGAGAAATATTGGGCTGGGTCTCTGCGAGAAGAAAACTCCGCCATAATTCTCCCATACAAGCCCGTCTCTGCATAGATAAAATCAAGCGGGCTCAGACTCACGCAAGCTACGCTGCTCTGGAGATTGGAACTCATCAAGAAGAAAACATACATACAAATCCAAGCCTCTATATCCGGCCAAAATGCCCTCAGCCAAGAAATACAACGTCAAGGTGCGGCTCCCCACAAGCTACCTAGAAACCTTGCCTGTGTTCGCCACGCCCAAGCCCAAGTCAAGAGCAAAAAAGCTCAGTGCCGAGGACAAAAAAAACGCCGGGTCGCCGGGGTCTTCTCCTGCTCCTGCGGACGACGTCCCGGCTGCCAGAATAAACACTGGGCCAAAAGAACTAAGTACTGCTGGGCTCACTGTGAATACAGTCACCCAGACGCTCGATAAATCGGGTAGGCCCTGCCGCAAATGGAAAAAGGGGCCGCGGGAATTCAAGACTTTCACGGGCTTTAAGGTAGGGCTAAGTGTTTGGAAACCGGAGGAAGACGAAGCAGGCGTGGCCCATACAGAGCAGACCCCAGTACAGGAGTCACGTGCAGAGGAGTCTCCTTCCAAGCACATTGCTGTTTGAAGCCCTCCGCAGCGGGTCCTGGAATATACAGCTGTATAGCATATGCAGCTGTCTGGCACATGCAGCTGTCTGGAACATGCAGCTGTGGCGTCGTTCTCAGATCCATGGCTGTCTACGACATGGAGAGACTTACTGGAAAACTCTACAGGGCCTTGGGTAGTAGGGAAGATGTAAGAGCCACGATTTTTTTGATGGCCATGGCAGAACTGATTAATGGTATGCGAGTAAGAGGTGGGGATGGAAAGGCTCTGAAAGGAGGAGTGATGGAGTAGGGATGGGCATAAAAAGAGAGAACGAACGCGGCAATGCTTATGAATCGCAGATCTTCAAGAAAGAAAGAGTGGATTGAAAGCAAATCTCCAGCAGGCATTCAGTAGGTATACGCTCTGTTGTGTTTTGCTGGTCTAGTGCCTCCGGTAATCACGAGACCTGACTTGAAGTGGAATGATCGGACGCCATTCGAACGCCCATTGGCTGAACCGTTGTTCGGTCGAAATTCAGAGCATTCGATCTTGGCTTCCAGTCAATTGCAGAAGCATTCCGGACACATGCTGCCTAGTGTGTACTCTCTAGTGAGAGCCGAGGGGGCCAACCATTCCGAATGTATAAAGCTACAGGTCATTGAACATAAAGCGATAAAAAACATTGGAGTAGACTGTGCATAGTTCCAGAACCGCCTGGAAAGAAGCAACACATACTCCGTGTTCCACCTTCAGATGGTCGAAAATTGGCATAGGTCCCGGAGCCCCAGTAAGGCGCACACTGCAGCTTGGACGCGCGACCTCAGATATTGGCGTCTCTAATCGGCATCTCTAATCGGCGTTTGAAATTGAGAAGCAAATCGAAAAGCCCCCACCCTCGTACTTGCACCGCCAAATCACCGGATTGCGCCATGATTTCCTGCCGCCTACCGTTGCGCAGGGCGCCCAGAATGTTCTACAGCACGACGACTAAAGAATCGTCCACACAAGCGAACCACGCGATCGCCACCAAGCAGCAGCTTTTCGTGACCGACCCCGTGACGCCAGGCCTGGTCTTTTTCTTGCCCCACGGCACCCGCGTCTTCAACAAGTTGGTGGGGTTCATGAAAAACCAGCAGTTGCGGTACGGGTTCCACGAGGTCATCACGCCGCTCATATACAAGACGCAGCTCTGGGAGAAACTGGGCCACTGGGAAAACTACAAGGACGACATGTTCAAGGTGGTGGGCAACGACACGCTGAAAGACGCCGCCGAAAACGGAGCGGGGCCGGGCGCCGGTCACGTGCACGAGTACGGCTTGAAGCCCATGAACTGCCCCGGCCACTGCCTCATATACGCCAAGTTCGACCGCTCGTACAACGAGTTGCCCATCCGGTACTCGGACTTCCTGTCGCTCCACCGGAACGAGGCCAGCGGCGCGCTTTCCGGCTTGACGCGGGTGCGCCGGTTCCACCAGGACGACGGCCACATTTTCTGCGAGGTGCACCAGATCCACCAGGAAATCACCAACACCATCAACATGATCAAGGACACGTACGCGGTGTTTGGCATCGACAGCGAGCGTGACGTGGACTTCTTCTTGAGCACGCGGCCAGACAAGTACATGGGCGACTTGGCCACGTGGGACAATGCCGAGGCCCAGCTCACCCAGGTGCTCAATGGCTGCACCCACCAATGGCAGGTGCGCGAGGGAGACGGTGCGTTTTACGGGCCCAAGATCGACGTGTTGCTCACCGACGCGTTTGGCAAGAAACACCAGGTGGGCACCATCCAGCTCGACTTCCAGCTCCCGGCACGTTTCGAGCTCAAGTACACCCTGGCCAGCGGCAGCCGTGAGAACCAGCCCATCATGGTGCACCGGGCCGTTTTCGGCTCGCTCGAGCGGTTCTTTGCCATTTTGCTCGACCATTACCAGGGAAAATGGCCTTTTTGGATCAACCCGCGGCAAGCAGTAGTGGTGCCTGTGGCAGAGCGGCACCATGAGGCGGCGCAGCAGGTGCAGAAACAGCTTTCGGGCGAGATTTTGGCCTCTGACTCGACGGTGGCTCCGCTCACAGGTTACAACTTCCATGTGGATGTGGACAAGCGTAGTGAGACCGTGGGCACGCGCATTAAGGACGCGCTTCAAAAGGGCTACTCGTATATCATTATGATTGGCGATAAGGACCTAGCCAGTGGCACGATTTCCGTGCGGACACGAGACGACCGCAAGGTGGAAAACGTGGCTGTGGCCGAGTTGTACCTGCGGTTTGTGGCGCTCGAGAAGGCGTACAAGTGAGCGGGTCCTAGATTTTTGGGTTAATGCCCGTTCGGGTAAATTATGTGGACAATTCTGTGGAAGTCTGTAATCATTCTTTGGGTGTGTTGGCTTGTGTGTGTGAAACTCTGGAAGAAAATCTGGATCAACCAGTTCCTTTGTATCCCCGAGAAGTGGAGCCCACTTTCTGGGGGCATTTCTACTTCGGTCTTGGCCCGCTTGTCAAAAGCCCATGACTCCACTGCAGAGTTCCTGGGTCCAATGTCTTGATTATTAAGGCCGTACTAGGTTCGTGAATCCCGCATGTATTTAAAACCCGAATCGAAACTCAGACCCTCGGAGCGTCGGATACTTAGCAAAAGCCTTGATATGCCAAAATATCTGTAAATAGAAAATTCTGCGATTAGATCTTGTGAAGCAGCCAACCATAGTAAGCACTGTTGGCCAATGGGGAAATTTTGTTTTCGATGGTAGCACACAAATAACATTCTACACATCTCTGAGTCTCTTAAATGCCTAGAGTAGTAAACCTGGCAATTCCATAGTGCCGGCAGTATTTTTTTCTCAAATTCTGTAAGGTTTACGCTTACAAAGTTGATAACAAAGACCGTGGGTTGTATGTTCTCTTGTTTTTGGTTGATAACGGCTTCATCTGTGGCCTCTGATTTTTTCTCTTGTTCGAGCATCAGAAACATTCCAAGTTTCCAGCTCTCTTCCGACTTGAAAGTCGTGGACTAACTCGAAAACGATTGACGGGATTAAAAGACATTTCGATGATTCTGTAATCCGAGAAAAAGATCATTCTAATTCTTCTGATCATGGGAAAATGGAACCGGAAGCGCTTTTCCAATGTCTCATTATAAATCGTGATACTCTTAGTTCATTTCTTACTCAATTAAGGAACCGACAAAAAGATTGCAGCACCACAATTTCGCATATGGTCTCCCACTACACTACTCAGTGTGGCCCTATGCAGCTTAACTAAAGTTGATCGGACGGGAAACAGTGCTTCCTGCATGGTATGGCCGCAACCGACAGGTTAAATTGAAGATAGTTTCCATAGTTAGAGGGTAAAAATATTCTGTGCTCGTCAATTGCTTTATTTTTGGAAATTTTATAATCTTATAATTACCATCATTTTTCGATCGAGATTCTCTGCTATTCGATCTCCAATGCACTTAGGGAGATGCTAGCAAATTTTGCCCCTTTAATCAGATGAATCTACCAAAAAAAAAAAAAAAACAGATACGTGCCATGAGGACCGTCCAGGCCGTGACTAACAGAAGGGGACGAGCCGGGTTTCGACACTTGGTACGTAGCTAAGAGCTGTGAAAGGTGTTTCATATATATTATTTATATAGTTTTGCTCTTTTAATCCGATGAATCTACCAAAGAAAAACTTCCTTTGACAATTTAAGAAACCTTAATTGGTTTGTTAAAGTCGTTCGCAGGGTGTATTTGCGTAGGGACCAGGAGTCAAAGACAAATGTACGTCTTGCCGCCTTGTCAAATGAACTATGGTCACGGAAGGAAAACATATTACATGGGTAGATGACATTTAGTTAATTTTATTCAAGTGGCTGACGTCCGTTTTGGGCTTGGCAGATTTCGTAAATTGGTGCTCGCGCCTTCTCACCCGAGCCAATGTTGCGATATATTATTGTTTTCTTCATAATTTTTTTGTCAATGGTGGGGTCTTACATCCCTCCAGTGATAGAATATGATGTTTCTTTCAAAAAGAAAAAGTAGCTATGTTGAATTTGGCAAAACCAAATTTCCGACACTTCCTACTTTTATTAGTCGATTTATTAGAGAAATCAATGAAGCCACATTTGTGCTTTGTCTGCAATTACACCTATACAAAGAGAACTCATTCCGCCATCTTGACATCTGATCGGCGCAAGTCTTTCTTCCTCCAAACACTCTTCTCGCAAATAGACAAGAAGAACACCTTAAGGGCTCAACCCTTAGCGGAAATATGGACCTGCCTCATGCATCTAGTAGTATTATTGCTTGTTTCGTCAGCGTTTCACTATTTTGGTCCTTTTTATTAGAATGACGAATAACTATCCTTTACCAAAATTCAGGCTGATGTAGCTAATCGCTGCCGACTTGTCTCATAGCACGTTATGTTTCACTTATTATCATAGTATTACACAAGTGGGATGCATGACATAATTCTGTGACTTTTTTGATCGTTTCCAACTTGAGTGTAGTATAGTGGTGTTTTCAACCAACTTCTGCTGCAAGAGTCGCACGCTGATTAAGTGAAGTCTCCATCACTCAAACACGTTCCAAAACGCACATTCGTGTTCATAACAAATTTCTGATGCATTTAACCTTTCAGTTTACTCCAAGAGCTTTTTTGGTGGTTATGGAAGAAACACTGATCATTGCCTCTCTCAAAATATAACTCGCTTTCTTTCCCTATCTTCTTGGATATTATAGCACTCTCGACGGAAGTGCGCAAAAATTTAAGAAACGACTTTCTTACATTGCCTAAGAATGAAGAAGTGAATGAAAATGATGAAATTGACCAAGCACGCTCATGCAATATTTGAATGGAGACAGCAAGCTTTGGTATCGCTGATATGCGTCGACAGACCCCACAGCGTGCCAATTAAATGCGCCTTCAGACGTTAAATAATAGATGTATAAGATCGGGAGTTTTTTGCGTCCCTTCTAATCTTAATTTCTTGTCCGGGGCTGGACTGCACAAATGTTCATGGCGGTAGTTTTATGACTAAGTTATGTTACGAAGATTGCGAGCAGTAAGCTAGCCGCCTGAGAAATCTCATTCGGTAAACGACAATATTAAAAGACCCCAGTATACTGCCTTTGCTTTCGATGCCAGTGAACCATTGGTTTTTGCTGGTATCTATGTATAATTCGAAAGAGTAAAATATAGTGATGTGTATTATTTTAGACGAAATATCATTCGAAGTTTTTTGAAATATTACTAAATTAAGAAAATGTATGCAAAACATTGTGCACTACTTCTTCTCTCTCTCATTAAAAATATTTCAAGCCGGACGAGAAGACTGTTTTTATTGGTTACAAAATATTATAGACTGTGGGCATCAGGAGTTGAAAATTTCGGCCTTTGGCTCATGACATACCCTTGGCTTGAGGACACGGAGCACCATTTGGAAGAATACCTCATTCTTCCGAGGGGACATCCGCGCAAGCACCACCTCGGAAGTAGAGTGAGGGCCGTTTCTGCTATATTCCCCAGGTTTAATTTAATACCTACCTGTCATATCTTCGAAGCCCATTTTGCCGGATGAGGGTCCTCAAGATAAAATAACTTTGAGCAAGTGAGAAAACTCTGTATTATTCAGTATACTGTAGTTTCGATTTTCTTGACGCTGGCCAAGATGACTCGTGGCATGGCCCGACTTTGACTATCCAGTTCTATTAGCATTGACTCATGGTTAGACGTATCACCTCTAGTTTAACAAACAGAGGGACTTAACTGGATTTTTTGCATTCTCCGCAACTTGCGGTGGCTCAAATACCACTTGTCAATTTAGTAGGCTAATCCCACGGAACGCAACAAAAAGTTTTCGCATATAATAATTATGAAGCCATCAAGTACTTGAAGAAGTTGTCGCGGGACACAGGTAAAACGTCAGTCAGTCAGTTCGTCACTAACCTTGTGAATTTGTGTGATGACTCTGCGGTACGTAGACTCATAAAAGACAAGGACTACTTTAGTTCTTTGGTGCAATAAAAAGGCACATAACAAAACATATGGACCCCAGATTTCAAATACGCAAGTCCATTAGCCTGCTCTAAGGCCCAGTGACCTGCAACAGCTCTAGAAATAAAGCAGGAACTACGGGTCTATAACCACATATTCCAAGACTTATAAACTGGTACCTAGTCGGATGAAGGAAAAATGATCAAGTAACTCATGCGAAAAGTGGGATCTTCCCGGTGCTTTGATGTATTAGGGCACCAGGCCTCTAATCAAAACGAGTTAGCTCTTTCGAGATGTCTCGAACAGACAAAAGTACCATGCACAAAAGGCTACAATCCAAAGGACACAAACAGAACACGTCCCAAGAGTGTTTTGGGGGTCTCTGTTCACGGCGGCCTCCATATATCAGCACAACGGACAAGGCGCCCTCCAGTAAACCGCCAGATACTACAGAGTTTGCAAGCCGCGGAGTTTCACTCGCGTCTGTATTGAGTGGGCAGACGAGGCTGCGTGAACATTCTTGTTTGGGCCTGCTAACGGCCCTCTCTACATGAAGTCTAGTGACCCCGCACATTGGGGTGAGTCTCGCCAATCAGGGCCCGGACGCGCCATCACAGGCGCCAATGGGCGCCGCAAGCTCGGAGCCAAGAGCTCCTCTCCAGCTCGGAGCCAAGAGCTCCTCTCCAGCTCGTTTTTGGCGGGGTGTAAGCAGACATTTCTGATGGCCCAACAAAGCGCACAGTTGCATCGAAGGGTCTCTCGGCATGAGGCTCAGCAGGCACGCCGCCGCCGCTGCCGGCACTACTCTCACCACTCGAACTCTGAAGATAAGAGCAAGCCTGCCATGATGTCCAGCCAGTAACATGCATGTCGTGTCGTGTCATGTCATGTCGTGTCGTGTCATGTCATGTCATATCGTGTCAGTCACAAAGCACGCCCCCCAGTTCCTGGCACGCGTTGTTCCTCAGCCCCATGCTCACATAGACTCGCATCCCTGCGCCCGGTCCAGGGCGTCGCCCGGGCTTGGCTGCGGAACCAAAAAGGGCGCCTAGACCCCGTAGTTCTTGGCGGCTAGCGTCTTGTCGAGCTGCGCCCACAAGTCGCGCACGAGCATCTTGTCGCGAAAGCGCTTCTCGCCGCGGTCTACGGCTATCGGCGTCACGTTCCAGTCGTGGATCTGCTTGGGCACAATGTCGCCCAGGTACCCCATGTAGAAGCCCTGGTAGTGCTGGAACAAGAGCTCGGGCCGCGAGTACTTGAACTTGGCAAACTGCCACGCCTGGCCCGTGGTGAAAATGGCTATGACGCGGTCCCAGTACTCGGGCTTGGTGAACAAGTCCACGTTGTCCACCACCATGATCAGCTGCGCCGCGCGCACGAAGCGGTCCGTGGGCCGCAGCACCGTGACCACGTTGTTCTCCGCCCGCTTGAGCGCCGGCTCCAC